GTCCTCGACATTTGATGGGGAGGCACCGCGGACCCCAGTAGGGCCAGGGGGCTCTGCTGCAGGCCCTTTTGCACTCCGCATCCTTGGGTCTCCATGCGCCCAGCCCTGACTGACCCCTCAGCCCTTGGTTCAATCCGAGTTTCCTTTGGATGTTTGTGCAGAATGATGTGTTATCTGGCACCCACTGGGTGTGACTGGCTTATGTTTGGTCCTCCTCTGTCCCCATCTCTCCAGTTCAGGGCTCCTCATGCTTGCACACGCAGAGTAGTCCCGTGTGGGCTCTGTAGGGCTGGGGAGGAGTCTGAAATGCTGCTTCTTTCTGACAACACCTGGTTGACTGAGCAGCAAGGCTTAGCCATGAGGACTGGGTCGTAAGCACAACTTCCCGCCGCCATCGGGAGCCCTAAGGCCCTGGCGCTACCTCTGCTGGTGGCACTTGGTTAGAAGATGGTCAACCAGATGGTCTAAAATATGTGTAAATTTTTCACCATCAGAAGCTTTTTTTAAAAATTGAAACATTCGTGAAGGGAGTGTGCCGTCCCCAGACTGCATCTCTAGACTCCGGATTGGGAACAGACCCTCTCCGGGTCGTGCTCTCCCTCTTACGGGGCGGTGCAGGTGAACCGCATCCGCACCCCTGGGATTCAGCCACCTCCTTTCAGGTACCAAGCCCCATGGAATACTTTGCGATGGTGATATTTAAAAAAAAAAAAAAAAGGAAAGGGAAAAAAAAAGAACTTGAAGGTGAACAGGAGACCATGTCGATGCTCAGCGTGTACGGCCCAAGGGAGGCTTTGGTCTCCCGAGTCTGTGCCATTCACTGACCGCTCGATCTTGTTTGTGCCGATGGGTCTAGCACAGGCTCCTACCTCGTGGCCAGGCACAGCACAAGACTGCTTTTAGTGCTTTCTGGATGCTGAGGAGCTTTGAGGAGAGGTCCCTAAGGACCTTCTTCCAGAGAAAGTTTAGGGCGATTGTGATGGTGTCTTGACTTGGGTATGCAGCTTTACCTGAGGCAGGGTTGCCTGCCTTCTCGTTTGTCAGCTTAAACATGAAGCCCGGGCTCTCTGTTTGGGACCCTGTCATGTCCTGTGCTGGGGTGTGTGTGTGTGTGTGTGTGTGTGTGTGTGAGAGAGAGAGAGAGAGAAAGAGAGAGAGCTGCTATAGAGTAAATTTGTGGGTGTTTCAGAGGTAAAATTGGTTTGTAGCTCATTATATAAGAAGTCCTTATCTAAGGACATTGGTTGTGAGGCCATGCAAGCCATTTCCTCCTGGGGACAGCTTCGATTTTCATACTGGTAGGTTTCTTTAGACACGGTCACTTTGGGGAGCCACTGACGCACAAACAGGAATAAAAAATGTTTACCGGTTGTTTCTAAAACCTGCCTGTCAGAAAAGCTTCACTTGTGTAGGGAGAAGTACAGGGCTGGGCAGTTTTCAAAATGTGGAATTGTAGAATCCTATAAAGTTAGAATCGAAAGAACCACAGGATCCCATAATCTGCTGCAGTTTTATAAATGAAGGAAAAGGCGTCTGGCGGCGCAGTGGTTCCTTCGTGCTGATGCTCGACTGAGTTTTCACCAGTTGGAGACAAAGTGAGAAAAATAAAGACAGCTGCAGCAAGAACTTCCTGAAATTACATACATTCAGTTTAAAGACCTGTCTGTTCTGAAATTACATATTTTCTGTATTTTGGGGGGTAGAGATGTCTGGTCCAATATGAAATGGTGGTTAGAGGAGATGGCTGAGTTTTTAAAAATATCGGTGTGAATCACAAATTCGGCAATGCCATCTCTGAGGCTGGAGGTATATTTTACTAGCTCTGGGAATCCACGCATGAGGAGCCGGGGACCCCGCGAACTGGCTGTCAGCCTGGTGATGTGCGCTCCGTGGGCTGCGGGAGAAGGCTGAGCCTTCCCCACCTGCAGGCGTGTCCCGAGGGGCAGAGAGAGCTGGACTAAGGTGGCCAGGGTCCAGCGCTTTGAGTCTTTGTGCTGCTGTCCTTGTTCACTTGGCGGACTCACAGCCACCGTGACTCCCGGGGGAGTTTCCTGAGAGACTGGGGTACCCAGAGGCTCTGGAGCTGGGGCCGTTGTTCACAAACAGAGCCTCGCGGCCACGATTCCCAAACTTGCCCCAAGCTAGAATCAACTAGAGAGCTTTATTCAAATCCTCCTGCCCAGGTCGCACCCACACGAGTTCTAGCAGAATGCCTGGGAGTGGGAGCCAGACAGCAGGTTTTCGGTTTGTTTTTTTAAATCCCCAGGTGTTCGCAGTGCACAGCAAGAGCTGGGAATCTCTGCCTTTGAGCTGACGTGGCAGGGGTTCCGAGCGCGGCTGAGGTCTGTGCCCTGCTCTGGGAGAAGGTCCTTCCCAAGAGGCAGACCCCGTATTGTTACGGACAGTCTTTTGGGGAATAGCTGTTACCCTACTGGTTCTGACGGTTATTATAAAGAACTGGGAAGGGTGGCCCATCTACAGGGACACAGAATACAAAGGCCTCGTAGCTTGTAAAACAAATGCTCCGGAGCCACTGGAGACCCATAAAGGTGGCAGTCGTGATGAGCCTGATGTTGGCTTTGATGCTTCCTCTTGACTTTCTGCATAGAAATTCCCAGTCATGAGATGGTCCTGCAGCCGCTGTTGGGCTTCTGATTCCAGAGACAGCCACAAGCCTACATAGGAACCACCCAATACAAGGTCAAGGGTTAGTGCAGGAAGACATGGATAAGCAGCTGTGAGGATCTGTTCCATCTGGCGCTGGGTTTTTATTGCTCACTCTGTGTTATGTCCCTGCCCATCCTCTTCTTTTCCTCCTCTATTAGGGACCCTGCCTCTGAAGCCGATCACTGCCTCTCATCTGTTCTTTTCCTGCCAGCTTCCGGCTTTTGCTCCCTTCATGACCACGTCTTCTCCCCCTCTCTGATCTCCATCCTGACCTTCCTCCTCATCTTCATTCATTCTTCCGCTTCAGTCTTTCTTGATGGACCCTTTCTTGATGGACTCTTCTGGAAGGGAAGATGTCCTGTGCCCCCTGTCCCTGGGGCTGATGCACCAGCGCCTTCCCAGTGTTTCTGTCTGGGCTACTGCTGCCCGTCTTCCGGTCACTCAGAGCAGACTTCTGCCACGTGACTCCCCCGCTCTCGTTACGCTTCCTTCTCCGTTCTGCTTCCACCAAACCATGTGGATCCGTTATCCATAGCTTCTGCCCGAGCCACCTTCTTCCAGCCCAGTGAGAAGATTCTGTGTCTTCCTAGAGCCGAGCCCCTGTGCCCTGTGCACGAGCACTGTCTCACGAGTCCGTCCCAGCTCCGCGGTCTCCCCAGCTCTCCAGACTGCTCTCCCAGCCCCATCTCCCCCTGCCTTCCTGCACAAACCCAGTGAGCCTGGCTGCCTGCTGTCTCCCACCTCTGACCTGCCCTCCCTTCTCTTGGCTCAAATCCTACTCCTTGGATTTTCCTTCCTGCACAGAATGTGTAGGAGAACAGGAAGTAATTTTTTTTCTCCGATTTCCTTAGATTCTTACCATCTTTTTCCTCATAGAGGGTTTTTGTTGACCGCTTCGTACCATCAGTTTCCTACCTGCTCCCGTCTGTCTCATGCGTTGGAAACTTGTGGGTGGCGAGGACAGTCTCCGCACAGGACCCCACGGCCTCTCTAGGGTCCTGTGCGCTGTGCAGTCAGGGTTTTGGGCCCCTGATTGTTGGCAGGGTGGTTTTACCTTATGGGGGGTGGGTGGTTGGCTCCTTTCCTACAGCAGGAGAGTTGGTTGGAGAGTGACCAGACTGATATTTGAGTAAAGGAAAAGCTAAAAGAGAGGCAGTAGATGGTTTTCTGAAGAAGTGATTTGGGGAAAGTATTCCATAACCGGGAATTTGGAATGATCAAAATATCAAAATAATCTTTTTTTTTTTTTTTTTTTTTTTTTTTACAAAAAGTGATTCACTCTCTTGGGTTAGTGGGCGGCATGGCGAGCATGGTGGTCAAGAGCTTGTTCTTCGCTTATTTAATCCTTCTGAGCCCCTCTCCTGACCTATGGAGGGGGTGGCAGTTGTGTCTGCTTGATGGAGTTAAGAGCACTTAAGTGAGTTAATAAAGCACTGATGTGTTAGCACATTCCCCTTCAACGAGGGGTCCCATAATTTTTATTTACCTATTCTAAAGGATGTACCATGAAGGTGCCCCATCACTGGAGAGGCAACTCCGGGTACAGCGAACGAGAGCCGTTCTTGTGCTCAGCTTGGAAATCCAGAAGCAGAACTTACTAGGATAGTCTGGTTGCCTGGAAAACAGATGTTGGGCACCACCCATCAGGGATGGCGGTGGACCCTGAGGCTAGCAGGGTGAATGAGGCGTCCGTAGTCTGTCCCCAAGGAACTGATGCGTGAAGCTGTGGACGAGTTAGAGGAAGAGAAGGCGAGGGAGGACTTCAGGGAGAGGTTTTGTCCTGATGCAAGACTGTGAGGAGGAAGTTCAGAGAAGTTGTGGTGCCCGTGGGGGGTCTGGGCAACAAGGGGCCCCACCTACAGACACAGGACTCTGTGTTAGCGAGACCAGAGTGAGTTCTGTCCCTCTAGCCCTTTTAGTCCATGGCCATGAACCATGTTAACCCTTAACCCTGATGTTGCTCCATCTCGGGCTCCTGCAAGACCACATCTTCAGTGTTTGTCCCATAGATAGGGCGAGAGCCCCATCTTTTTATTACTGGAGGGTTCCCGAAGAATCCAGGCATGAACTAGGGATGCTGGGAAAATACTAAGCAGACTCACAGAAATTAAATCTCACGTATTCACAGTCCTCTCTGCAACTCCAGCCAAGTCCAGTTTCCATGTTGGATGAACCCCCTCTGTTAAGTGGGAGAGTATGTGAGGCTTTCTTTCCTGGGGATGGTTGGGAAAGGAATTCAGACAAAAATCTGAGGAAGGACAAATCTTGAAAAGAGTTTGCTGAGGGATTGGTGTAACTGGACTGAAAACAACCCTGCCCTTTTCTTCCCACAGGGGAAAGTGGAAGTAGAAGCTGGGAAGGAAGGTATGAAATTCGAAGCCAGTGCTTTCTCCTACTACGGTGTGATGGCTCTCACAGCCTCTCCAGGTGAGCGGCCCTCCTTCGCCCCTCGGGGAAGGGCTGGGTTTTAGGACAGAATGCCCTTCCGTGGTCACCTTTCTGTACCCACCAGCTCTCCTGTTTATCTTCATCTTGATCTTTTGATTGAAGCTGGTCCTGTATACCAGTACCTCCCATCCCCCCGCACAAATCATAAGCCTGTGCCCCCATGAACTTGCACAAAGCCAGCGCTCCCCTTTGAAGCGGCACCCGGTTCAAGAGACAAATGTCACTAATCCCACAGACCCCACTGCCACCACACTGTCACTGTCCCCCAGACCTCTGCCTTAGCTTCTAAGCATAGACTAGTTGTGCCTGTTTTTGAACTTGGTATAAATGGACTAAAAGAGCATGTGTCTATTGAGTCGGGTTCCTCCCACCCAGTGTTGTCCTTGTCACATTTGTCACTGTTGCTGTGTGTGTTTACACGTTACTTCTCGTGGCTGTGCAGTGTTGCGTTGTATGAATACACAACGGTGTGCTTGGTCTGTTGCTGATGGACATGGGGGTAGTGTTCCGTTGGGGGCTACCCTGCTTTGTGTGGCTGTGCATGCCCTCGTGCACGTCTTCCGGCAAGCGTGTGTGAGTGTGTGCCTGCTCCCGCGGGGAGTCCGTGTGGGCGTGGCCCGGGCAGCTCCCGCCCCTGCCTCAGGCCACTGAGGCCGGAGGGGTGCACACTCCTGCCAGTGAGGACAGGGGTGCCACTTGCTCTACATCCACTGCTAGATGATGTCAAGTCTTTTAAATGTTCACCGTTCTGGAGGTTTTTTAAGTTTGCATTTTTCTGAGGATGCACAAGGTTGTTAATGGATATTTATTGCTTATAGCCAGTTCTTGTCTAGACGGCCGGTCAGGTGAGGCTGCCAGCTGAGGGTGGCTGTGCCCTAGGGTATGGACTAAGTGTGCTGAGCACCAGAGGCCAGCAGGCGCTATCTAGTAGGAATGGGGAGCACAGAGAGCTCTGGCTCCGGACTCCCCACGGTCCCTCTGCATTGCTTGCTTTGCAGGATGCATGTGCCGGCGGCCTGCCCCCTGCGGGAGCAGTGCCAACAGGTGAACAGAGGTGCTGGAGTGCCACCTTGTGGCCACCATCCCAAATGACATGCCATGCTGGGAAACTTAAAACCCAAACTTTGAAAAAGCCCATCCTAAAACAACCTAGGTGGCTTCTGGAAACCAGTCTCAAAAGGGGAGGGGCTACCTCCAGACACATCTATTTTTGTGACCTTAGGCTTCATCTGCCACGTCACACAGTGTCCCGGGCACCCAAAGGTGTTACTACAGTTAGGAAGCCAGGGAAATGCTGAGGGTTCTCTTCATGTCCCTCAGCCTCCCCTGCCCCAGATGCATTTTCTCACTGTCCTGCTGTGGGTTTTCAGCCACATTCGCCAGCCTCCGCGTTGTCAGCTGCTGACTAACGTCGGTGTGAACGTGGGCCTGTCTAACCCCACTGAGTTGTGGCTTCTGTAAACTTGAAGGTGATCTGTTCTCGCTGCGGGTGAGGAGGCAGGGAGGGTCCTAACTGGTCCGGGAGGCCCTGGGTTCCAGCTGCAGTCTCAGTGCGTGTGGTCAGCGGCGGCCTTTGAGAGACCTTGGCTTCCTCCTTACTGAAAGGACATAATAAGGTTACCTCGTGTACTTGGTAGAAGAGAATGTGGTGATACTTCCCCCTGCGAGTGCTCTGTAAGCTTGAGAGCACAGAGGAAATGTCGGTGTGAGAGCTGGGTGTTGAGCTGGGGACTGCTGTGAGGCAGCCAACCTCAAATCAGCCCCAGGTTAGCAGAGTCCGATTTAGAAGGTGGCTTTGAAAAGAAAAGTTAGAAGAGTAAGGATACAATCTTAGCAATCACTGGTTCTTGAAACTTAAACATTAGCCCAGTGTATACTGACCTGTGGGTTCACATAAAGGCAAATCCCATCCAGAAAAGGAGCTGAGGAGCAGCCCCTCCTCTGCAGCAAAGCTGTGGGGCTGCAGCAGCCGGGCCTCAGGAAATGCCAGGAAGGAACAGGATGTCATTAATAGCATCGTACTTATTACAAAGCCCAGTATTTTACTTGACAAGTAGGATTTGGGTGTATTCATTGAGAGATACAGTTAGTGCCTTAATCTCAAGATAGTATTTCTATTTATTAATGTTGATTGCCTAGAAGAATCCTACAGTAATCAGTTTCAAGACCTGCGCAACTGTGAGTCAGTTACCCTGTAGTTTAAAAACAAAAGCAGAGGGGCGCCTGAGTGGCTCAGTTAGTTAAGCGTCTGCTTTCAGCTCAGGGCATGATCTACAGGTCCTGGGATCAAGCCCTCCGTCGGGCTCCCTGCTCAGCGGGGAGTCTGCTTCTCCCTCTGCCACCCCAGCTCATGCGTGCTCTCTATCTCAAGTAAATAAATAAAATCTTTTTAAAATTAAAGAAAAGAACCTCCTCCCACGAACCCACTCTCCCCCCCGCCCCCCCCAAAAAAAAACCTGCCCAGGAAATAGGACTCCTGCCAGGGAGGGCGGTGTTGATTGGACTTTTCAATCCGACCGGCCTGCAGCTCTCTGGGTGACAGCGATGAGGATGCCTTTGGTCCGCCATTCCCAAGAGACCTGAGCATAACATTCTTTAATTACTTTCCTCTGATACTTTGAACTTCCGAATTGTTCCCAGACAATTCAAAATATCAAGTTAAAATGACAGCGAGATGAAGGATGTCCGCGAGCTGAACAGCGACCGCTTGCCGCGGGCTCTGTGGGTGCGGGTGGCTTGGATCATGCTCTTGGGCTAGTTGACTAATCGAGCCACAGAAAAGGGGGGCTCATTGTGATTTAAATCCTTAAGAAGAGCACGTTTTTGAGCCATAAGCCCCAATAGAGTATTAATGGCTTAAGAGATTTCTAGGTTAGTAGAGAAGCATTTGAGTAGGATTTCTTCTGATTTCAGGCTCCCTGTATTCCTCTTCCTGGAAAGCACTATGTGTTCCTTTTTAATTTCCATAATATCCTATAGGCTCTGGAATTTCCGGAACTGAATGCTCATAGTAGTAGAATAGGTATGCACTCCTGTGCCCCGAGTGCAGAGGTCTCCTTCCTTGCCTTTCGATGCGGTCTCACCCTGCTCTTCTCCATTTTTCAGTTCCTTTGTCCCTGTCTCGCACCTTTGTTGTCAGCAGAACAGAATTGTTAGCAGGTTCTCCAGGTAACTCTGCATGTTTCCTTTTCGTAATTCTTCCGGTTGCCTCCCTGACACCCCGCAGAAGCCCGGCCGGCCAGATCTGCTCCTTTGATGTGGTCCAGGCTGCAGTTCTGCTCGGAGGGCTCAGGGGGCACGTTCCCAGACATGGTGTTGAGCTGTGCGGGGGCTGGAGAAGCCTACAGCAGGCGTGGGGCAGACTCCAGAGCCTGGCAGGCAACTGGCCTGTGGGTGTGAGCAGCGCTGACCCCCCCCAGAAAGCCCACGCGACGGTGACCTGGCCCATCACTAACCCCCTCCCCGGCGCACCCACACCGCTGACCTCGGGGTCTCCAGGGCAGCGCGAGGGGGCTGCTCTAGGTTCTTGGACCTCTGCCAAGTCAGGGCATCCAGCGCTTGCAGAGGCCCTGGTGTTCTTGGTTCTGCTGCTTGAGTCTTTGTCCCAGCAGCCGTGTGAATGGGGCACTTGCGTCCCTGCCTCATCAGGCAGGGGGCCCCCAGACTCCTCCTGCCCCCCCCCGCCCCACCTGGTGCTGTGCACATTCCCTGCCGCCTGCTGTCGGGTGCCCACCCTGCACGAGGGCTGGGTCCTGCCTGCCTAATAACGTCCACCAGCCAGAAAGAAAGGCAAAGGTTTAATCTTTCTTTAATTAAAATTGCCGAGCTTTCGGTGGTACAGGTTTTCTGTGTTTATTACGTTCCACACAGCTTCTGTCTCCACATCTCATGAAGTTGGCGTTTCCTAATCCAGGTTCAGCAGAATTCTCGAATGCTGATATTTTGTAAAACAGACAAGACTCCCTAGAAAGAAGCTACTGTTCCCTCAAGTCTTTGCTCTGAAAAAGCTTGTGGAGTGTGGGGATAAGATCTTATTTATAGACCTGTGTGAATCAAACCAGCTGGTGGGATAGATCTGTCTGTGCCCACAACACACACACGTATGCACGGAAATACGCATTTGTGTATACGTATGTATGTTGGTGTTTTTTCTTCCCATTCGGTTTGCCGGCATCTGCTACCCATTTAAAACATCACAGATGCTGAAGAAGAGTGACTTTCGGGTGACACTTATGAAATGTCATTTGTTGTTTTACTTTTTCCGTGGAACTAGAGATTTCTTAGATTTCTCTTTCTGATCCCCAAATAAATAAATAAATTAAATAAACCATTTTTTAGGTCCAGGCCTTCAGGATGCTGGCATTACAATAAGTGGAGGTTGAACAAAACCGGTGATTTCCAGCCTATTCCAAATGATGCTTGGAGGTTCTGATGGAGGAGGCTGGGAATGTTTCTTTACAGTGTCTTTCTGGCTTACTCCTAAAAAGAAAGCATTCCTAGGTGAAGTAACTAAAAAGCAGGAAAAAAAAAAAAGTGCTAAGGAGGCATAAGAGGAATTAAAATTGGAAATTTTAAAATCATGATTATTATTAAAATTTAGCACATTAACTTGGCTGCGAAATATGAGCCGAACTGGGGGCTGGCCACTTAAAGTCTTTATTCTCCTTGGTCTCACTGTGTGTCGACAAAAGGCTGGTCGCACTGGGTCCCTGTCACACTCACTGCTGCAGGAGGGGGTCCCAGAAAACAGGGTCTGCCTCCCCAGACTGTGGCTGGGATGCTGGGCTGCGGGTTCCTGGGAAAGGCAGGGGCTCATCTCACAAAACCAGAGGGCAGTGGGTTGAGAGGAAACAGACTAGGAGTCTAGATACGTTGGGGAAACCAGAGAAACTGCCCTGTAATCCTCTTTGGGAGGAAAGAGCAGGATACTCAGAAGTAAGGCCTCTGCCGTCTGTGTGCGGATGTAGTCTGATTAGTAAGCAGAGTGCCCTTGGGACGTTTGGGTTTTTTAACCTTTACATTGTAACACACAGAAGTAAACACTGTCCACAGAAAATGGTGATGTGATTTGGGGTTAAAGCCCAGGGATACAGTGGGGTCCTTGTTTCAAAGAACATTTCCATCTGTCGACCTGAGCGATGCTGTCACACATATAGAAAGGCTCGGACCTGAGGGTGGCCGCCTAGTGGAGAGACGGGGATGAGGCAAACAGGAAGTAGAACAATGTTAATGAGGCTTCTTGATGGGATATTTGTGAGGTGTCCGGTGTTGTGCTAAGCACTTTATACGTTCTCCCCTTAGGAATCCTCCTCAGACTTTATGAAGCGGGAATTAATACCCATGTTCTACAGAGTTGGGTCATCTGATCAAAGTTCCCTTCTGCCAAGAGAAAACATGATAAATTATTCATTTGCCTTGTTCTCTCAGAAGATAAGTGGAAGCAACCAGAGGAATGGCTACTCTATGAGTTTAATTCTGAGCAGTAGAAAGTCGGACAAGATCGTAGAGGAAGTTGCGCTGTGGCAGTTTTAGGAGAAAGGGAGCACTGCCTGTGAAGTTCACGGAGTACTTACCATGTTTTGTTCTGGTCGTCCTATTTTAAGAGGGACATTTATGACAGAAAGGATGTCAAAGTATTTGGCTGGACAAGAAGAGGCCGAAGGAGAACACCGCTATCTCCAGGCTTTTCAGGCCTCCTTCAAGCAGCACAGGAGTGGTGGTGCCTCAGTGGAGCTCTAGGTGCCGAGGGAGAGACCACCATGTCAGTCTGAGGGGAAGGAGAGACCGCCAGCCATGTCAGTCTGAGGCAGTGATTTTCACGGGCATGATGAGTGACATGGAGGAGTTGAAGGGCAGGACCAGCCGAGGGCCAGCTCCTCTGTGGGAGTATCGGTCAGGGGTGTACTGCGAAGACGGACGGGCCTGGTCTCCATCAGAACTGGTCCCCTCCAGTCCTGTGACATTACGCAGACCAGCACCTGTCCAGTGTGAACACCCCCTTAATATATGTGGTAGAGATTTGATAGGAAAGCAAAAATGGAGGATGCTTTGATGAGGGTGGGGTGGGTTTTATTTTCAACAAAAATGTGTGTTAGGAGCTGCCTTTGAGAGCAGCAGCACTGGACTCACTGAGTTTCCTTGCACTTTGTTTTAACGGACGAACCGACACTGCCCATGCCGTCAAGGACTCCCCCTGCACCGATGGTCCCTTAAGCCTTTTAAGAGCTTTTAAGAGTTTGGTGTTCCTGAACTGCTGAGACCCCCGGGCTGCCTGCTGGGGATTTCGTGGGGGTCGGGGACAAAGATAATAGGTTCAGCTAGCGGGTGGGTTATGGAATGAGCAGACAGAACTCTTTCGAGAACTCTTTTGATCCCTTTAAAACACAATGATTTACAGACATTCTCCAGAGTACTTTGCTTCTGCTTCTGGCAAAATAACAAAGTGCTGCTCTCCCATGCCCATGTTTTCTCTCCGGGAGCTCCCGTGTCTTGGGGAGGCTCACAGGTACTGTCAGAGCCTCGGGAGGACGGCGTGTGCGCGCGAATGGGGCTGAGCAGGGAACCGAACAGACCCCGGGCTGACCGGGGTTTTGGGGGGCGGGGCCCTCTAGGCGGTGAGCTGTACGGTGCCCGGGTGTCTGGTGTAAGTTGATTGAACTGGTCTGTTAACCACTACTTTTATTATTTGGAAAGTTACTAGCCGACATTGTTGGTTCTCTCTACCTCACTTAATAGGTTCTGTCTGGGCTTCGCGTTCTCCTTTTCTAGGTGAAAACAAGTCGCCTCCTCGTCCCTGTGCTTTGAACCACTCCGACTCTCTGAGCCGAAGCGACCGGATTGACGCTGTAACGCCGGCCCTGGGGGGCAGCAGTCATCAGCTCAGCTCCTCGTTCCTCCAAGTCTACGTCCCTGACTACTCCGTGCGGGCCCTCTCCGACCTTCAGTTCGTGAAGGTAAGAGGAGAGCGCGTGGGTTGGCCGGGCCTGGCCGCCGGGGGTGACCTTCCACAGCAAGCTGTCCGGCGTCCCGGCCCTGCCCCTGGGCTTTCCCGTTGTCCCTTGGGCGTCCCACCTCGGGCTCCTGCACCCGACCGAGACACGGGCCCGGGAGGACATTTGTCTCTCTGGCTCTGTCAGAATGGCTGCCAAGTCAGGTGTGAGAGCTGGAGAAAGAAAAAGAATAAACCCTTTTCAGCAAGTCTTCACGAGCTCTCTCATGAGTGGGGGCGGTCCCGGAAGGGCTGAGATCCAAGACCCTGAAGACTTGCTGAGATGGGGTGGGAAGAGCCCTCTGCCTCTCTTCTGCCCCGAGACAGGGTTCTTGTCTTAGTCTGGAGTAGAGACGTCTTCTGAACCAAAGAACGAGCCAGCTTCAGCTGATGGAAGCCTATCTCCATCTTCCAGTCTCTGTGAGATTGTGGGACGAAAACTTGGGCATGGCTTCTATCAGTAAAAACTGACTTGTTCGCCAGAGTCCACTCGAACTCGAAAAGTGGCTCAGTTTACATTCGAGAGTGAAATTTTCCTAGAAAAACTAAGCAGGCCCTCTGGGGGACTTTAATATGTAATACGAGGTCGAGACAAGAACTCCTAAAAATAAGCGTTCTCTTGTCTTCCGTACCATCTTCTGGCCCCAGATCTCGAGACAGCAATACCAAAATGCCTTGATGGCATCCCGGATGGACAAAACTCCTCAGTCTTCAGACAGTGAAAACACTAAAATTGAATTGACTCTTACGGAGCTGCACGACGGGTTGCCAGACGAGACCGCCAACCTGCTCAACGAACAGAACTGTGTGACACACAACAAAGCCAACCACAGCCTGCACAGCGAAGGGGCCATCTAGGGCGCCCCCCGCCGCCCCTCACCCCCCACTCCCAAGGCCCCAGGCCAGCTGACCGTGAATCCCATTAGTGTGAGCTTGTGTGCCATGCTGCCTCCCGAAACATCCTGAGACCAAAGACTTTGTCCCCTTCCCGGAAGCAGCGGCGGAGGATGGCGAGGGCAGGAGCGGAAACGAGAGGTGTGACATCAACGGCTCGGGCGTGGCATTCGAGATTTTTGGAGATGAACTTCTTCCACCCAAATAGAATCATGTTTATTTTTTCAGTTGTACCTTTTATCTTTATTCACTCTCCTCCTTCCTCAGTTTGCATGAAGTTGGAAATTGTGGCAGTCTATTAATTTTTTTCCCCAAGAGATCATGTTTTCAAACAGTGTCTTTTGCAGAGTTTTACGTTGTTCTGTCTCAACTCTGCCGTGACTCCGTGATGGGACCCCAAGGGACTCGCTCCACCCGCCGGTGGCCTTGCCGGCCTTGCCGGCCTTCCTCGGGAGGGGCACGCCTGCTCCGTGCCCAGTGGGTGTCGCTGTGGAACTTGAAGGATGAATGAAGAAAACTGTGGCTGCGGACCTGCCAAGTCTGTCCCACTGTGGGGCGGAGCCTGTGCGGGGCCGCAGTCGCCTCTGTGAGCTCAGTGTTGTTTTTAAGTTAATGTCTAACCGTGTCCCTTTCCCTCAGAAAGGTTTAACATTGGCTTGGAATGTGATTTTTTTTTTTGCTCCTACTCTAAGGAATTTTTATCACCAAAATGAATGTTAATGAATTTGAAACCCATGGTTTATCATTGGCAAGAGGCAAGGTGACTTCATCCCGCAATTCCTCCAGCCTGGATTCTCCGGCCCGGCCAGGCCGCCTCCCCAGCCCGGCGCCCCAGCCTCCAGAGCGCCGCCACCCACCTCCCCATCCTTGCTCTTGCTGACCCAGGATGCTGCTACACAGATGCCAAATGGAAATCTTCCACAGGGCCTTTGAGTAACCGCGTGGTACAGAGTTCAAGCTCCTCCCTTTCCCACCAGGAAGTCTGTCATTGTCTGGAAAGGAGTTGGGCCCGGCCAGCTGCGCTCTGTGCTCTGAGCCCAGAAGGCGTTTCCAGACCCAGGTGTTTAAAGGAGGGAACTTTGGGGACTGCCAGCCCCTGCCCCTCCTCCCAGGGAGCTCACTGTCCCTCTTCCCCTCTGTCCCTGGGCTCCTAGGGCCCAGCGGTGGCTGTGCTGTGTTCCTCGCCCGAGGACCTCTGTGCCTCCCACCTCAGATGCAGCCCACGCCGGAGAGGCTGCCTGTCCAGCCCCGGGTCGGTTTGGCCCCAAACAGGGATTCAGAAACCAAATGTGTGTCGTGGCCATTTCGTGTGTGTCTCCGCCTTATTTTAATACCAAATTCATCACGTGTAGTGAAATTAATGTCAGGAGGTACTTCTTGAGTGACGGAGTTCTTAACTCTCTTACCTGTTTTAAGCATTAGCCCGAGGGATATGTGCATTTTGTTGACAGCGGTCATTGGTACACTGAATTCCCGAGCTGAGGTCGTACCGGCCGCCTCGCGCGGGTAGGAAGGCTGCTCCGTGCTGCCTCTAGTCACTGGCCGAGAAGATAGCATTTTCTCCACTGGGGCTCACTCATCGAGGGGAAGCCCTGGGCCAAGCAGCAGTTTCCTTCTCCCTCCTCAAGGTAGGAATGTATCCCCCAGGTTGGGCTCTGGGCGGACGGGAGCTGGGGTTGGGGAGTCACCAACAACATGCCAGGCTTGGTGGCTCCAGTGTCCTAGGCACGTTTACCACTGTATTTCCTCCAGGATGTCCATCCTGGAGGATCTTCCTCATCAGGTGCCATGCCCCTTAGACTGGGTCACAGGGGCACCCCCTAAGGGTGTTGAGTGGCGAGCTGCTGGCCCCCCACCTGCCACGTGCGCTGGTTGGAGCCCCTGCTGTTCGGTGGCTTAATGTTAGTGAGACCCCACACGGCGAGCTTCCCCTTCTAGAAACAGATCCATCCAAGTTAAAAGGTCTCAGCTTCTAAGACGCATCTAGCTGAGCACAGCCCCCGTGCGGCGTGGGAACAGGGACTATCCCCAGGGTGTGTAGAAACGAGCGTTCCCACTAAGCAAGTGAACCCTGGGTCTCGCAAGAGGAGTGATCCCCAACAACCACACTCCTACTCCGGGTGTGGATGGCGCTGGCCTTCCTGGTGGTTTGGTGGAGCCTGACCTGCCACACCATGGTTCCTCTGACTTGCAGGATCTCCGCACCCCCCGCCCCCATCCTCTCTCCACTGATCTGCTTTTCCATACATGGCCATCTCACGGTGCCTTGCTCCTGGAGGGAGCTTCTGGAATCAGAGTTAATGTGTTGGGTCTTTTTCAGAGCCCCTCCCCCTTTCCTTTGTGAATCCTAAAGCTCTGTGAGAGGCCAGGGATTCCAGCTGCTGGCTCCTTGACTTGAGCGTGAAGCCAAGAACTTGTCCCCATGCTTGTACCCACTCCGTGTGGCGGCTTTTTGAGGTGTCTGCTGAGAAGTGCTGGCAGGGGGACTCCTAGAGGACGAAATTTTAGCCTCCCAAGATGGTATTTATTTTCTCCACACCACTCTTTACCTTGCATTATTCATATTTATAACAATAGGGAATTGAAAACGATTCCTGGGTGTAATTCCATCTGCTTTGGGGGAAGCTCAAGACCCTTCAGATCACACTCACTGTCTTGAGTGAACAGATTGATCAGATTCCTCTCCTAGGCCCTACTTTCCCTCTGGAACTACCTTCAGGCTGTCGAAGAAGAAATGCTGGCTCGTGCCTCACCGGGCAGCACGATGACTTTGGCTTAGAAGTTCTGTGCAGCCCCATGTCTATGAAGGGGGCGGGGTCCGGCAGAGAAGGACCATCAGATATTGAGATCTCCACGTGCAGTGGCCAGTTCTTAGAACTGCACCATGACTCCATCATCCTGTCCTGGAGCTGCTGGCTCTGTGAGTGCGGAAGGGGCTGGGCTGTGGAGCAGAGGCGGGTGCTGGGGTCTCGAATGCTGCTGGAGCCCCCCGTTGTCACACCCAGCGCCCGTCTGCAGTGGCTTCCATGGCCCCTGCTTTGAGCCCTGGCTCTGGGGGACCAGACAGGGCCTCCTCCTGCTTCCGGCCACTGTAGCATCCCAGAGGTTCCACCGGAGACTGGATCCCTAGTATCCAGACGTTCCGAGGACAGTGGGCTCTGTCTTTATAAGTGAGGGGATTTCCCCCTGCTCCCTACAGGTTCTTCTATTCTGTGTATTCATCAGGCAAATCAAAAATCATATATTTAAACTTTTGGGAAAACAACATTAAGATTTGTATGTACATGGATATTGGGGTGCTAGTCAACTAGTTTAAGTCTTGGTTCTTACATGATCTGCATTTCAGAGGGCACACCACTCTTCTTCCCTCCCTCCCTCCCCTAACGGAAGAGAGCTTGGTGCCCGTGCTGATGAGATTGGGTTCCCCACGTGGGAGGAAGTAGGGCACCATGCCATTTTCTGATGTTATTTTAAGGAACTTCTGTGCAAAGGCTAAATGCAGAACTCCACATGAATATGGAACACGAACTGTGAACAGACTACTTACCTGTGCTATCCCCAGCACCACCTGACTGAAGGACCAGCTTTTCCAAGTCTAGGAAGATACTGGTAGAAACAAGTAGAACTACATTTTCGCTAGGAATGGAAGTAATAGGAATTTGGGCTAAGCAGGGACCACAGACTTCTGCTCTCACACTCTCTCAGGTTGAGGAGCAGACTGGAGGCGGCCCTGGCCGCTGGAGCCTTTGTCCTAGGTGGTCAGAAATCAGAACAAATCCTAACGCCCGCATCTTCTGAAAACCAGCCAGCGATCTGTGGCCCTCTTTGCCTGTCCTGGGCCAGGCTCCCAAGATTCCTCCAGGGTTTGCCAGGGGGGAGCCCCAGCAAAATACTTACCTGGGCTGGGGCAAGAAGGCGGCTTGACAAAGCAGCAGCTGCCAGGGTTGGCTGGCTTAGCACACACCGCATGACCCTGGTTCTCTGATGGCGGGAGCAACAAGAACAACTCCCCTGTCGGTTTGGACCCCAGAGATGGGTTTTTCTTGCAGGGGGTTGATGGAGATGGCAAGTCAGGGTGTGGAGGCTTCTGGGGCGCCGATACGGTTTCTGAGGACACAGTTTCTGGGTTGGATTTGGTTCCACTGTAGGCTGTGGGCTAGTGGCGTTTCTGCCCAGCGAGGAAGGACCTCGGTGTGAGTTAATAGATTAATCCAGAATTAGGAGGGATTTAGAAAATTAAGTATGAAAATGGTTTGGGATGAGTCAGAAACTTTCCAATGTAAATTTATCAATGAGCAACCTACTCAGTGGATTTTTATATCTCAGGGCCATTTACAGATGTTTTATCTTTTTGTATTTCTTTTGTATTCAAGTGGGCTGAAGAGAGAGGAGTTCAGAGAACTCTAAGATGAGGTTCATTTGCCTCCATCTGAGGGTGAGTGGTGTACCCTTGCCAAGTTTGCTGATGTCACTGTCCCTCAAGGCTTTTTCCTGCAGTGAATGCTTACTTGCTGGTTGTCCTGCCCTGTCTGAAGGTTCCAGAGTCCCTGGTCAGCCAAGGGACAGAAGGAGGTGATGGCAGTTCTTAGCAACTGCAAGGCTTGGAACAGCTTTCCTCCCGCCATCTTGGACTGGGGACTTTATTGGCTTCTTAGACCTTTGCGGTTGGCTCCGCACAAGTAAGCTTTCTGTCTCTGTGTGCTAGAGCCACTGACCTCCTTTCACTAGAATTGTTGTAAATATCTTTTGATGGGAAATACCAGACTGTACTTGAAGCAACAGAGACACAAAGGTCCTAGTAGCAAGAGAGTAAAGTTCTAGGACTTTGTATACCAAGGTTTTTATGTACACAGCTCCAACATGTACTATAAGAAAGACTTGAGTTAGTACATGTCTTTGAGTTTGAATACCCACTTAGGTAGAGTTTAAACATGAACTGGAAGAACGGCTTGCCTTGCCTGGCAGGGTATCTTCTGGCGTTTGCCCACATCTGACCAGCACGGATTCCCTTGGGAAGTGATGCTTTTGGGGCCAGATTCTTCTTCAGGGTTACCTTGGAGAGAATTCTTATTAGACCTAGTGGGGTTTGGGTGCCTTCCCTTTTTGTTGAAGGTCCAGGCCCCTTAGTATCCAGAGCTGGTCTCAGGGTCCCAGAGCAGAAAGGAGTGAGAAGGAATAAGGTCTCAGGACTCTCATTCCCCCGAGAGCCCCAGCCTAGCTTCTGATTTGTTATTCCGCGTGTCCATGTCTGAAGTCTACTGTGAAGGTGGAGTGTATCAGTCCATTGACTTCTCTTATTTCTGGAGTCTTTTAAATCTACAAATGTATATGCTTT